GATTAGCTTTCCAGTTCTTGTTTGTGTTCTGTTTACCCCTTTTAGTCATCATGATGTTTGAACATAATCTGTGCATAGATATATATCCTGCTGCTTCAGACTGCAAATGAACCGAGGCTTGTTTAGTGACACGGCCTGTAGTAATTCGTCGCTGTCATTCATGCAGTTACTGCCCTCAACACGCTCTTCACTAGCTTGAATTCTCCGGGGCAGCTCAAAGGCTGGCAAGTGAATGGCGGTGACCCCTGCGGCGAATCATGGCAGGGCATCACTTGCTCAGGATCGTCGGTTACAGCAATGTGAGTCTGATGAAACAAACTTATTTACTAAACCGTGCTCGTTTCTTGCTCCCTCTTAGCATATTTTCCTTTGTTTGATGATGCAGCAAACTGCCAAGCTTGGGGCTGTCTGGGAATTTGGGCTACAATATGAATACCATGAGTTCGTTGGTCGAGATGTGAGCGCCCAAACTTATCTTATGCTCAACCTTGTTTGCTGTGAGAGTCCAGTTGATAACCATCTTAAACAAAACAACACAAATTCATGCAGTGATATGAGCCAAAACAGCCTTGGTGGTGGACAAGCGATACAGTACAATCTCCCCACAGCTAAGCTTGAAAGGCTGTAAGTTCCTCAGATTAAATCACACACTTGATTTATTTTTTCTCAACTGTTGTTGTCTCTAGCTGTTAAAGGATTCTTGTTTTGCAGCAATCTCGCAGGAAACCAGTTTGGTGGACAGATACCTTACTCGATCTTCTCGATGAATAATCTTAAGTATTTGTGGGTATCTTTGCAGCCAGAAGTAATCGTTTGCCTTGGAGTTTGTATCATCTAGTAGGACTAAGTGAAGTTTTTTTGGTGTATGCAGAAATCTTAACCATAACCAGTTACAAGGAAAAATGACCGACGTATTTTCCAACCTTGGTAGCTTGACAACAGTGTGAGTACATTTTTTATGTGAATTATCAGACGTGTCTTAACTTTGTGTTGTAAAATCTCTCTCTCTCTCTCTCTCTCTCTCTCTCTCTTGTTCATGTTCTAGATGTTTTGATTCTCTTACTATTTTCATGTGCAATGTGATGCAGGGATCTCTCCTTTAATTCTCTTACTGGTGACCTACCAGAAGGTTTAAGTTCACTGTCAAGTGTTAAGACTCTGTAAGAAATAGAGTCACATTCTCTATCCACATAACTATTAGAGTGCCATGCATCTAAGTATCTAACCCTGTCTTGGTACTTCTCAGATATTTGCAGAACAATCAGTTGACCGGTTCTATCAATGTCCTAGCTGATCTTCCCCTTTCTGATCTGTAAGTAACCAACATCAAATTTATCGATGATTTATTTACATATGCATTATCATCTCATATCTTGCTTACCTGTAGGAATGTTGCAAATAATCGCTTCACTGGTTGGATTCCTAGTCAGCTTAAGAAGATAAATAGTCTACAGTGAGTCTCTTGATTACCTAATGTGCAATTGTTAGAGAGGTATATCCTAAACTAATATGGCGCTTATGTGTAGGACTGATGGTAATTCTTGGACTTCGGGACCAGCTCCACCGCCACCGCCATTTACAGCTCCACCTTCAAACCGTCGGAAGAGCCCAGCTAAAAAAGACAGTGGTTCATCATCTTCTGATGGAAAGTCTGGAATAAGTGGCGGAGCTGTAGCGGGCATTGTCATATCTTTGCTGGTCGTTGGAGCAATTATTGCATTTTTTGTGATAAAAAGGAAGCGCAAATCTAAAAGGGAAGAGCACTTTGAACAGCACCAGCCATTCACTTCATTCCCTTCAAACGAAGTTAAAGGTCAGTTAGCTTGACGTTTATCATGTTAGAGAGATGTTTCTTCTAGTTGGCTAATCTTGTGACTGATTGCTTCTACGCTTGCTGCAGACATGAAGCCTTATGAAGAGTCAACCACAATAGATGTGGACTCGTTGGCTTCCCCTGCTTCAGTTGGTCTGAAGCCACCTGCCAAGATTGAACGCAACAAGTCATTCGATGATGATGATGACTTCTCAAGCAAACCTGTCGCAAGGAAAAACAATACAAAACCTATAAAGGCAGTTGTTTATTCAGTTGCAGATCTACAAATAGCAACAGATAGCTTCAGCATGGACAACCTTGTTGGAGAGGGTACTTTTGGACGTGTCTACAGGTCACAGTTCAACGATGGAAAGGTATTATATCTGATCGCTGGTCCTGTATATTTCTGAAAGCACATGAATGTTTTCTTTACTTGTATTCTTAAAGCCTTCGGAAGAGGGGTTATTATTGGATTGCGGTTCTCGGTTTCAAGTAGTCGTGTGGTAACATTTCTGAAATAGGTCCTTGCTGTAACATTTCCTCTATGCATGATCTTCACATTAGTGAAAGGGTGGAAATTGCACTGATCTATGATGGAATTTATGTGTTCCCAAGCATAACGTATTAACATCAGTCTTGTTATGGAGAAGAATGAAGGATCATAGAAGCATCCTGCATAATTTGGATGTTCTTTTGGCGCTTAATGATAACTTCTCCTGATATTGTATTTTTGGCCTTCTTTAAATGTGTCGAGATAGTGAAGAACAGAAGATCGAGCCATTTAAATATATGGCGCTCACTGTTCTTGTTTACTCTGTTCAGGTTTTGGCCGTGAAGAAACTAGATTGTACTGTAATACCATTCCAATCATCTGAAGACTTTGTTGAACTGGTCTCAAACATTTCGATTCTGCACCATCCGAATCTCAATGAGCTTGTGGGCTATTGCATGGAACATGGACAACACTTGCTTGTGTACGATTTCCACAGGAACGGATCACTTCATGATCTACTTCATCTTTCAGATGAATACAGCAAGCCACTTAGCTGGAACTCCCGCATTAAGATCGCACTAGGCTCTGCCCGAGCACTGGAGTAAGTGGCAGTGAACTATATATGTTGATCTGGTTGGTACGATGTTGTGTCTTGTGTGTCCAGATCCAACTGGACAAACTGAGTAACTATTGCTAGCTTCAGAATAGAAAAATACTATTGTCATCTTCTAGTTAATGATAGTCAATTAACTAATTAACATGCTTGTCTTGTCCATATCATGCTACCGGAATCTCCCTGAGCTGTAGGTATTTGTTGCAAATGATGTGTGGACTTTTTGATGCATGTCTTCTCTACATGTTTTCCTAGTGTAAGATTTTAGTTTGAAGTAAAACTGACACTTATTTTGGAACTGAGGGAGTAGTATTCACTGAATGCTTGAAGAATAATCTTCAGTTTTTGTTCGTTACATAATCTATCATAGCATTGTATGCTTCTTTCGAAATATCATTTGTAGATACCTTACCATTTCCCACTGTAAATATAATTTGCAGGTATCTTCATGAAGTATGTTCTCCGTCTGTCGTCCATAAGAATTTCAAGTCATCCAACATTCTGCTCGACTCAGAATACAACCCACACGTTTCAGATGCTGGACTTGCAAGCTTTATTCCTGATGCTGAGTTCCAGGTCTGTTCACTGTACTCCAAGACCCATTTTAGAGGATTGCTTGCATAGTTGCATGCTTTTAAAACTCAGTAAACAAATAGCTCTTGGCTTGCTAAGCTACTTGCTACTCCCTCCGTCTCATAATGTGAGACGTTTTTTGACACTAGTGTAGTGTCAAAAAACGTCTTACATTATGGGACGGAGGGAGTATGTATTATAGATCATTTTGATATGTATGAACTATATACAGTTCTAGCTTAGCATTTTACACATTATGGTGCATAATGATTGCCTAACGGCCACCACCAATTAAACCTCTGCAGACTGCGGAACAGAGTGCCGGGTGCACTGCCCCAGAGGTGGACATGACTGGCCAGTACACTATGAAGAGCGATGTCTACAGCTTTGGGGTTGTCATGCTAGAGCTTTTGACGGGACGCAAACCATTTGACAGGTAACTTCTTATCAGCCATGACCAGTTTCTGGCTCAGGCATGTTTACAAATTTAGCAATTTATGATCCGACGAGAAGTGACCGCGTGACTGTTTGCATTGCAGCTCCAAGCCTAGGTCAGAGCAGTCACTCGTGCGGTGGGCGTCTCCCCAGCTCCACGACATCGATGCCCTGGACAGGATGGTGGATCCTGCGCTCAAGGGTCTGTACCCTGCCAAGTCCCTGTCCCGATTCGCCGACGTGCTCGCCTTGTGTGTCCAGGTAGGACTTCACTCAACCATCTCACACAAATTTGTCATACAACGCCAGACATGCATGTGTATGTAAATAACGCCCGAGCCTCGGAACCATTTTTGCAGGCTGAGCCGGAATTCAGGCCACCAATGTCTGAGGTGGTGCAGGCGCTTGTCCGGCTGGTGCAGAGGGCCAACATGACGAAGAAGATGCTCGACGGCGACGCTTCCCGGCGAGGCGATGACCAGGACCAGGATTTCATATGACGCGAGCACAACCCTTCTAATATATCACCCCCTGATATCGCATCCGAGATTATATTTGTTTATTTCTTCTAGCGCCTAGCCTGGCCGAGAGAAGAGTGGAGGAACAGAGCAGAATTGGTGTCCGGTTCTGTCAGTACATATCACACAGGTTTCGCTTGATTTATTATACCTAAGTGTTAGTGTTTGGCTGTGTCATGTCCACAAATCAGCATCTTGGTGTCATCCTCTTAGGACTTATCTACAAGATGCTCCATATAAACATATCCATGGAATCAGGTTTGGTGATTTTCAGGAGAGAAATCACTGTCATCATCAGTGTCAGCGCTGCCTGAATGAGCTGAGAACAAGTAGCATCAGATCATCATTGGGTATTAGTCATGTCATATTATTACTGAACCTGTTCATACCAAATATGTGCAGCAAGCTAATGATGCACCCTCCCTTGTTTATCTTTAGTAACACACTAGTAGGAATATGTATGTGTTCAGGCCAAAACCATTAGCCGGAGTAGTAACAAAGTTTCAGTAGTTGCAACACATTAGCTGTTTCCTCTCAGCCTGAAGCAGCAGATCATCAAACGGAGTGAGCCGACCGGGCGCGCTTGAGCTTCATCACAGACTGGAGGTGCGCCCTTGGCGAGTGCGTTTCTCCCAGCCTGCCGAGGAAGCGAAAGGTTACCATACATTTCTTCAGTAACCTGTGCTATGAGTCTTCAGTAACATTGCACTATCCACCGGAGCAAAACCTTGTGATCTCGGCGCGCCGCCTCGCCTGCTCCGCGGTGGCAGAGCGCGGCGTCCGGCTGCTGAGGAGATGGTCAGAGAGCGCCCGCCGCGCCGACAGCGCCGCCCCCCGCCGGCCCTCCTCGCCGTAGTAGTCTCTCCTCCTCCTTGCAAACGCAGCCTGAAGAGAGTGAATCGACAGGTGCAAGGCATGAACGGAGGCAGAGCAAAGCGCGCCGGCCGTACCTTCCGGTCGAACAGCAGGCTCCAGGCGTCGCCGCTGAGGGCGTAGCGGACGGCGACCTTGATGAGGTCGAGCGGGAGGTAGGACGCCAGGCTGTAGAGCCAGATGACGCCGGCCCACCGCCACCCGACGCCGCTGATCGACGCGAAGCCGACGGCCGCGTACACCGCCACCAGGGTCGCCACCAGCTGCGCGGCGGCGAAGGCGCAGACGAGCAGCGCCCCCGGCCGGTCGAGGAAGGAGAGGCCCCGGCTGCGGGTCACGAATATCAGGGCCTGGCTGGTGATGCTCACCTGCAGGTACACCGCCGACGACACCTCCTCGGCGTCGCCCTTCAGAGACCGCACCCCGAAGTGAGACTGCAGTCTCAGAAATCAGAAAGCGTCAGAAGGCTGGAGTGAGACTGCAGTCCAGTAGATGTTGGGTTTCTGCTGTGCTAGCCTCGAAGAATGTGGTTCTGGTGAGCGCCCAGTAGAAGAGCACCGTGACGAGCGCGAGGTAGGTGCCGATGACGACCCCGGTGGCGAATATCTCGTTGAGCTTCCAGCTGTCCGGGCTCCGCGACGGCTTCACCCGGTCCTTGGATATCGCCATGATCGTCCCTGATCAGAGCACACGCCGGCGCGATCGGTATCATTTCGACGGTATGGTTGAAACTTCACATGGTAAGTTCAGAGATGCAACGTCAGTTACCGTCGTTGAGTATGGCTATGATGAGCACCATGAATGGCGGGAAGTCGTACTCCCATATCGACGCCAGAAGAACAAACCCAACCTGCAACCACACAAGTTCATACAGGAAGGAAGATCACTGGAATTTCTACTACCGGATTAATAATCATGCTAGTTGATTTGCTGCTGCATTCTTACCACGATTCGTATGGTGATGCACACGGCATAAATCTGCGGCCAAGCAGGAGAAACCGTCAGATCTTCTGGGTCAGAAACAGAGTTGCGTTCATCAGTGTAGCAGTAGTGGTAGAGGGAACTCGAGACCCACCGTGTAGTTCTTCATGCGCTGGAAGATGGCGCGGCTGGTGAGGACGGCGCAGACGATGACGCCGAGGCCGGGCTCCGTCAGCACGATGTCGGCGGCGGCCCGGGCGGCGTCCGTCGCGTCCGACACCGCGATGCCGATGTCCGCCTTCTTCAGCGCCGGCGCGTCGTTCACGCCGTCGCCCGTCATCCCGCACACGTGCCCCTTGGCCTGCAGGAGCCGCACGATCTCGTGCTTGTGCTCCGGGAACACGCCCGCGAACCCGTCCGCGCTCTCCACCAGCTCCTCCACCGGCATCGCCGCCCCCTCGTCGCCACCATCGCCGCCGCGGCGGCCGAACAGCGCCGCCGAATGGTGCATGTTGGTCCCCGTCCCGAGCCGCCGGCCGGTCTCCTTGGCGATCGCCAGGTGGTCGCCGGTGATCATCTTCACGCACACGCCCAGGTCCAGGGCCCTGCGGATGGTGTCGGCGCTGTCGTGCCGCGGCGGGTCGAACAGCGGCAGCACGCCGCAGAACACCCACGGCCCGCCGTCGCCGTCCCTCGATCTCTCCGGGACCTCCTGATCTCAGGCATCAAGGCGATCCGGCGGAGCGCTTCAGGATTCAGAACCCAGCAGTGTACATTCACCAGCAACTGAACTAGTCTTCAGAATTCAGAATGTGTGTTACTAGGAGTTTTACCTGGTAAGCAACTGCTAGTGAACGGAGGCCCCTCTCGGCGAAGCTGTCGACGACCCGCTGCGCCTTCTCGGCGATGTCGTCCTTGTTGTAGCACAGGTTGAGGATCTATAATAAGATGACCAAAATCAGATCAGATGTTCTGAGTCATGGCTAAACACTGTAAATTATCAAGTTCCATGCTGTTAGATGACAGTCATCAGCACTGATGAAATGCAGTGATGAACTTCTTCGATAAGGGAGAGGGAGAACCTGCTCAGGAGCACCTTTGCTGACCCGGAACCAATTGCCGCCAGAATCAATGTATGTTATGGCCGTCCGCTTGTCGACCGGATTGAACGGGAGAAAGTGAACCTCGGTGATGTTTGCGCGCGCCTGAGAAAGAACAGGTAACATTGGTGAACCATTATTAATGTGCAGGCCCAAAGCAAGCGAAGAGATTCAGAAACCTCTTTGGGATCAGAGAGCATATTTATGATGGCCATGTCGATTGCATCTTGGTTATCCACTCTTGATGCTCTTGCAGCCAACAGGATTATCATGTCCCTGTCCATTCCTCCGCTGAAAACCTGTACCACAAGGATGGATCAGCGTGCATGCCAAGTCTTACACTGCTGACAAATATATCTCAGAATTTTCAGGATGAATATACTCTTTCTTTTAAGGTAAGAAAGTACCTCGATTAGGTCTTTGTCAACGGTAAGATGGTTGAGAGTGAGGGTTCCGGTTTTGTCGCAGCAGAGAACATCCATTCCGGCCATTTCCTCAATGGCCGTCATTCTTTTGGTGATGGCACCCTGCAAAGTTCAGAACAAATTCAGTGATATTATAAGTATAAATCGTTTGTTTGTTAACTGAAGAAAGGTGACGGCAATATCCAGACACACCTGCTGAGATAGGCGATGAGAACCTATTGCGAGCGTGACCGACAAAACCGTTGGCATCGCGATCGGTATCCCTCCTATCAGAAGAACAAGCACATTGTTGATCCCCTCCCGGTATGACCGGTGCTGGACCGCGAACATGACGATAACCTCAACGATCACCCCCACCGCAATTGAGCAGATACAGAAGTTGCCTATGCAGGTAAGAACCTGAAATTTCCAGTAGGAAAATTCAGCTCTCACACCACAGACACTTGTCTGCAACTAATGCTTAACACATCTAATCACATTCTGCAGTGATGATGACTCACCTTCTGGAAATGGCCTACAACCTCTGTGGTGTCCACCAAATGGGCCGCCTTCCCGAAGAATGAGCGGATCCCGGTGGCGATGACGACAGCTTCAATCTCACCATGCTTGCAAGTTGAACCAGTGAACACTAGGTCACCGGTCCTTTTAGTTACAGGAAGTGATTCTCCAGTGAGAGCTGACTGCAAGATTGTTAATAAGAAAGAAAGAGGTCACATCGTTTTGACAGAATAATCCAATATCTTTCTTGTAAATGGCATATGCAGTAAATAATTGCCTGATCAATTTTGAGAGGATCCCCCTCGAGTAGCCGCGCATCGGCAGGGACAATGTCACCAAGCCTGATGCTGATGATGTCCCCCGGTACCAGTACAGAGGCATCCAGCTCTTGCCATTGCCCATCTCTAAGAACCTGCAGCCACGCCCATGCATGAACACACCAAGATCAGAGTAAATGAAGGCATGCATCAAGCTCCTACCAACCTTTGTTCTAGGCGCCAAGCGGGCCATGAGCGAAGCCGCGGCATTGCCGGCATTGTTCTCCTCGATGAAGCTGATTGTCGAGTTGATGATGAGAAGGCAGACGATTCCCACGAAGTCCTCCCAGTCAGGACCCTGACTCTGGAGAAAGAAAAGGTGAACATCAAATTAATCTACCACTTCTCTGTTGTTGTTGAAAACACAGAGTACTTTTTTCCCCTGAAACTGCAGAGGTTTTCTTGACTGAACCGGCCACAGAACATAGCATAGCACAGTGCTTGACTTACACCCCCATTTGCCAAGACTAATGCCATGATGGCCGCTGCCTCCATCACCCAGGACAGAGGGTTCCACATGAAGCTGATGAACTTGAGGACCTTGTTCTCCTGCCAGAAACAAAAATGAGGAACTCAGAGGATGTAAAATCTCCCAGGAAGAAAAACAGTGAGCAAGTAGCAAGAGGCGGTGCATTTACGCGCTTCTCCTCCAGTCGGTTTGCGCCGAACAGCTGCAACCGCTCCGCGGCATCCGCCGAGGAGAGACCACATCGAGACGTGCTCAGCTGCTCAAAAACTTCTTCGAGGGCCAGATTCCCCTGCAGACACGCCATTGCCATGAATCACATTTCCACAGAATGAAGTTAATGTGCAGTATATATTTTAACTGAATGTACCAGACTACCAGATCAATGTCTTGGGTGCTGAGACTCTCAAGTCCAAGCAGAGGTTTTCCCAGCCCGTCTTCATCCATGCTTGAGCTCCGAAGGCGGCGGCGCCGAGATCTGCAGTTTGTGATCGGCGGAGCAGAAGTGGATCAGTCGTGAGCAGATCTGCACATTCGTCACGATAAGAAGTTTGGGACTCGCCGGTGAAGAATCTGATGGAATGGAGCTGGCTGCTAGCGTTGGGAAGGTTTACCGTGTGTGGCTCTTGTCGGTGAGGAGTAAAGTGGGAGAGACGAAGTGGGCTGCTATCCCTTTTTCCCGCCATTTGGGAGCATGGCTCGGCCAGCCACAACCACCGTTCAAACTCCCACGGCAGTCAGCCGACGGTCGCGTCAAACCAACCGGTCGAGCAGACAAAACACGGCGATGTCATCTAGGAGTAAGTGTTGTTTTGGTCATTAAATTGCGTGGGCGATGGAGGTGTCACCGAAAACAATCACGCCAAACACGACGCGCAGGTGGTTCAGAGCAAGGATAGCCAGCAAACTGAGTGAATAGCAAAAAACTACCACATTACGGGCCATCGTTCCGAAAAACTACCACTTTTTTTAATTTTCCAAAAAACTACCACAAAAGTGGCTGGCTGTTCCAAAAAAAACAAGTGGCCGAACGGTTAAGTTTTAACTGGGGTTATGACATGTGGGGCCCGCCCATCAGGGTTTTGTCGGCCACAGGGCTCACGACGTGTGGTGACGGCCGTTAGGGCGAGCCGTCCTGACCAGGTAAATACTGGTCCGGCCCGCCCTCACTCTGTCTCCCCCCTCGCTCACTCACTCTCACTCTCCCCCCTCGCTCTGTTTCCCCTGGTCGAGCTCGCCATCGTCGTTGACCACCTCAGTTCCTCGTCGCCGGCCAGGATGCCTTCTTGGAATGATGGGGATGAGAGCTCCGACGACGACAGCATGGGGGGCAACCTGATGGACATGGAGTACTTTGTAAGCCTCATCCTCCTCCTCTCTGTCATTATCTAGGGTTAGGGTTAGGGTTGAATCGATTTGGGAATGAGGGTTGATGAGCTGCATATTTGTATGGATGGATTCGTTTGGTTTGGTTAACTGTTAGTTTTGATCTAGGATATGGATGGCACTGTGATGTCTGATCTGATCCACCTTGTAAATTTGATCTGACCTTGAGCAAGGCAAAGTTTGACTCAAGTTGAACTAGTTGATGCATTGGTTCTGATCTACCTTGTACTACATGTAGGACACACCTGACACCATCCTCGAGCCACTCTGGTGTGGTGCTCCCATGGAGGAAGTTGCCAAGTGCACTCTGCACCGGATGAAGCCTAGGAAGTATGTTGCTTTTGAAGGTGCTAACACTGGGAGGAGGTTCTATGTATGCCCTGTTCAGCTGAGTAATTTAGTATGCTGGTTGGATGAGTACTTTGGTCGGATTCAGTTATGCTGGCTGGATTCAGTTATGCCTAGTGGATTCAGTTATGCTGGGTGGATTCAGTTAATGTGTAGGTGGATTCAGTTAATGTGTAGGTGGATTCAGTTAACTGAATTTTGTACTATTTATGGTTACATCTCCTCCTTGTATAGCAATACCTTTTTGAAGTGAAGTTAGTAATGAATTTATGCATTTTCTAAAGTATGTGTTGTCTGATCAAACTACAGGGAGGTGTGAATTGTGGTGTAGTTCAGTGGGTTGATCCTGTCTGGCCTGATGCACTTAAGAACTGCCTCATCAAGCTGTGGGAAATGTTCCATGAGCAAAACCTTGGAAGGATTCAAGACAAGCATGCATATGAGGATGAGGTTGCCAAGTTGAAGGAGTATGATCATCTCTGCACTGAGTATCATAAAATGATTGATGATGTTAGCAAGATGTTTGACTAGCAGGATGGTGTTGGCAAGATTGACTACCAACAAGCAATGGATGCCGAGAAATATGAGAAGAAGAAGGAAGAGCTAGAGCTGGAGATGAAGATGGATAAGCTAAGGCTAGCAAAAGAACAGAAGTGTATCCTTCAGTCCCAGGCAGAGATAATTCACAACACCAGGAAGGCTACGAAAGAGATCAAGGTGGACAGGGATCTTCTTGCACAAGAGAAGAAAGAGCTTGAGAAAGTAGTTGCTGATCTGCTGAATGCTGGCCATGGGAGCAAGGAAAAGCTTGAGCAAATCAAGGCCATACTAGAGGCTTGAAGATTTGGACAATGGTGGTTAAGTAAGTAAGATGGCCTACACATATAACAGGCCTTGCAAGATGATGGTAGGAGTATATTTTGTGCAGTCCTATATGAACTATTTAAGTTATGGTAATTGGGGTGGTGATAGACTTTGAGAACCTTTGCTAAGTTTGGCTTATGTTATTGTACTGTTAAGAACCTATCTATCTTAAGTAATGCAGTGAAGAACTGTTTTATTTCCTGAAAGTAGCAATGTTGTACTAGTTTATTTTTGGGCCTAAAACCATTATGTATACAATGTGGGCCTAGTACTGGGCTGGTTTATTACTCTTGTGCCTACCTACCACCAACCTATATTGCTCTATAAAGCCCACCCCCTTGGTAGAAACCTAGTCAATCCCCCTCCCCCCACCCTTCTCCACCCCCAGCCGCCAAAGAAAACCCTAGAATCCCAGGGAGAAATGGATCCTGGAGAGGTGATAGATGGAGAAGAAGAGGTGCCCAGGGGAGCCAGGCGCAAAGATGCAAGAGGAGGGTGAGAAGGCAACTTGCGGAGATGATCCTTGCAGCATGCAACCGCAAGGACATAGAGCAGTTCCTGGAGGCATTCCCCCTGGCTCCAACCCTAGTGATGATGATATCATCTACTGGGCAAGGAGGAGGGCAAAATTCCATCCTTTTCAGGTCACTAGGCAGAGGTGGACTAGGATTCTGTACCCATGATTTGCTGTTATGTTTCTGTGCTCCTAGATCTGTCTCTCTATCTATGTGATGGATGAAGTTGATGTAAGAATAATGTTGAATGAGCTATGTATGTGATGAATCAAGTTGTCTATGATGCAATGTATGAAGTTGGTGTAACAATAATGTTGAATGATCTATCTATGTGATGAATCAATCTGTGTATGATGCAATTTATGATTGAATCTTTTATCTATATTTGTATGTATGAATGATTTGATCTGTTCATCCTAGATGGCCAAATCTTGCTGTTTTAGGGTTGCCACCATAAGTGACCAAATTTGGCCACTTTATGGTTGGTACACAAGTTGCCACCCAAAGTGACAAAATTTTGCCACTTTAGGGTTGGTAGACAAGTTGCCACCCAAAGTGGCCAAATTAGACCACTTTAGGGCTGGTACATAAGTTGCCCCACAAACTGACCAAATTTGGCCACATTTTAGGTCATATCAACACAACTTAGGTGATATCAACATAACAATGATCAACATAAGATGAAACAGTTCATAACTTAGGTCATATCAAATCAAAATACAGCTTCATAGCAGATAACTTAATTGTTCCAAGCAGTTTAAACACAAATCACATAACTTAATTGTTCAAAGCAGTTCAAACACTCACATACACACTAGATAACTTAATTGTTCCAAGCAGTTCAAACACACACCACATAACTTAGTTGTTCACAACATAGTTCCAAGCAGAGTTGAGTGCGACTTATTCAATGGTTGCCACTGGCTGTGAAATACAAATCAAATTTGCTTGGGTCCTTCCTCTTCCTCTTAGAACCAACATCAGCTTGACCTGAGGTTGATGCTGCCTTTGGAGCATTGAAACCTCTTGCAACTCTTGATCTGGTGTTCTTTGCTGGAGATGATGCACTTGACCTTGTGTTCTTGGCTGGTGCTGAAGCTGGTGTTGGGTTCTTTCTCTTTCTTGATCCAGCTGTTGAGATTGCAGTACCAGCAATGGTTGCCCTAGCTAGAGCTGGAGCTGGACCTGATGATGTGGCCCTAGCTGGAGCTGGACCTGATGATGTGGCCCTAGATGGAGGTGGCCTGGGTGGTGCTGAAGTTGCTGGGTAGGATGCCCTATTTTCCTACAATTAAAAACAAGTAGCAGCTCAAAAGATGGATGCATTAAAAACAAGTAACATATTTTCATAGATGAATTGGCTTAGTTACCTGGTGATTGTTTTTCCTTGTCATAAACTTGGCCTTAAGTCTGTCTCCACACATTGTCCACCTGTGGCCTTGCTTCCCACAGTTACTGCATGTTATTGTGCCCATCCTTGATGTATCCTTTAGAGCTGGCACTTCAAATTCACCCTTTCTCCTAGCTGTCTGCTTATTGCCTTTCTTCTCCCTAAAAACTGGTGGTTCTATGTCTGGTGTGTTAGTGTTGGGCCAGAATTCAGGACCAGGGACAGGGTAGATGATGTGCTGGTATGCAGCCTTATACATTTGCTTCTTAAAGAATGGATGCACATAATCTTTCGGGTGAACTTTTATCTTCTGCATTGCAGATATTGCATGGTGGCAAGGTGATCCAGTCATGTCCCATCTCCTGCAAGAGCAACTCCCTTCATTAAGCTTCACACAATATGTGTTATCTCCACTTGTTACTTGCCAGATATTGAGACCAGCCATGTTTGCTTCACAAATTTAGCTCACTTCTTGCTCTTTTCAAGCTTCTCCATGTAATGTGGGGTTATTTCCCACCTACAGCTCTCTGTTTTCTCTCTGATGCCCTAGTACTTAACCATTAGTTCGGTCCTCAATCCTTCAAACATTGTCTTAATTGGTTTGGACCTAACATCTAGAATAATTTTGTTGAAAATCTCACTAAGGTTGTTCACTACCAAGTCAGTCTTGCACACATGATCCATTGCATATCTAGCCCAACACTCCTTAGGGATGCCATCCAACCACATGTAGGCTGGTTCACATGCTGCTTTCAAACCCGCCATTCCTTCTTTGTGACCATGTTGAGTGAAGGAATAGCTAGCTTTGTCAACCCATTTGTTAAGTTCTTTTGCTCTAAAGCCAGCTAACTAAAAGTTTGCATATATGTGTCTTAGGCAATATCTTTGTGGGGATTGAGGAAATACTTCATTAATTGCTTTAAGAAGGCCCTATTGTTTGATTA